AATAATGGTGATAATAATACAAATAATAATAATAATAATAATAACGTTGACTAACGCAGTTGTAACATACATGATAACGATGATAAGAACCAGGAAAGCAGAATAAAAATGTAGATACTTTGATAATCAAAATGGGTCAAAAGCTTAGGTAAGTAAAAGTTGCATAATACTGAAGGATGAAGTAAGTGGATAAACAAAGCCTAGACAAATATAGTAAGTATATGAAAAGTGTAGGAGAATTTCCAATGATAAAGTTGTTGATTAAGTTTACCCTGACCAAGGGAGAGATTATTTTTTTTATTTGTCCCTTGGGTTCCTAATGGAACGTAGGGCTTCAGTAGCACTTCTCGATTCCACTCCCTTCTCTGAAATCTTTTGAACCTGGCTCCACGACAGCCCACAACCTCTCATTTCCTCCTCGCACGATCTCCTCCATGTCACCCTCACCGAGGACGCCCAACTCGTCGCTTCCCATGTGGGTTCCACTCGACGCCATGGCCTGGTACGTGATATCCCCAGTCGGCCTTCTCGGTTTATGCCCAATCCATCTACACTTCCTTCCACTGCATATTTGTTCAGCGATAGGTTCTTGCTTCGTTGGTTGGTTGCCGGCCAGAGTTCCTTGTTGCCTATTGTTTCTCACCATCTGATCTTCAGTAACGAGCCAGCGTAGGCAGTTGTTGATGAATGTCTGTAGTTTGTTGGGAATCCCTTTGGTAACGCGCCAAGTTTCTGAACCATATAGATAAGGGATGTAAAAACTTATTTTAAATACAAAGATCAGGACTATTAGCTAGAACTCCCACAGCTTCTGCTATGTGTGAAAGACGAGTTTGAACACCTTTCGAAAGATGGGATGGTATGCAATGAATAATCGTGAAAGTATTGTTCTTATCTACCAAGTGACCACTGTCAACCAGATGACATGAAACCGAACTTCCGATGGATTTCATCCATCCCTTTCCCAACCATAAAGGTAGATGCTCAGCAATACGTCTGTTACGTTGTCTAGTAGTACGCTCTATATAGATTTCTTTACAGGAGCAGCTAAACTCGTAAATACACATAGAAATGGTAAAACTAGATAACATGTTTTGTCTGAGCAGTAACAATTGGTCGGCTGGAAAACGATAGACAAAGTTGTGTGTCGTAGAAGGTCCTATTAATGATTCTAGAGTCTTTCACATAAAACTTCTCCAGCCACATCTCCATAAACAACAGTTTCTTTTGTACGGTAATAATTCCAGGTTTATTTTCGCCTATTCTGTCCATGTGTCTATCTTTTTATGAAATTGTTAAGGTAACCCATTTCAACCAATGAATTACGAATATATTCTAACTTCTTTTGTACTAAAGCCTTTGAACATACCCTTCTCGCTCTGTTAGTTAGGCATTTAAGTAGGTTTTCATTGTAGTGAATGGGTAGATGGCTAAGAAAATGTGTGTACTACCTTATAGATGCGGTCTTCCTGTCGCATTTTCTTCCTCATAAGTGAAAGTGAGTGAAGGGTGCACCTCATTAAATTTTCCTAACACCTTATTTGTATCCACATTCTGATCCAGGATAGTGAATGTGTAGTCAATGTAGTGATGACACACAGTCACTTCATTGATGACGTCTTTCAATCCTCGGTTCTCCAGTTTGGCAAGAAATATGTCAGCTAAAATAGGGTCAAGTAGTGAACCTACAGCTATTCCACCAATCTCTCTATAGTGAAAGCTATTGACGACAGAATGTACATTCATAGTACATTTAAGAAGCAACTCCTTGAGGATGTGTACAGGAATCCCGATGTTGATTTATCTTCCAGATATCTGTTAATATACAAACTCTACCGTCTCCAATAATGGTACATTAGTGAGTAGGGATGAGATATCAAGCAACATCATATGTTTTCCATTCTACATTTCCATAACCTAGGTTAGAAGTAAGTCCAAGGACGTCTTTTACACTGTGATCAACTAATTCTTTAGGTAAGGGACCTAAAATCCTTACTAGCTACTTAGCAACTCTGTGGTATGGTGGAGTTGGATATATCTAAAACTGAATGAACAGGCAGTCCAGGAATGTGTACTTTAGTTCAAGCATACAACCATAGTGTCTTACTTCATGTAGGTGTGAGTCTGAGTCATACGTAGACTCAGAAATTGTCCCATCTTCTTTCAGTTTGTTTAGTATCTTTACAAAGTGATTGGATAGTAATAAGTTCACCACAATACTTATGGGATTTTTAGCTTCTGTGTACATGTAGTCGGATAATTAGGCAAGATTTTACCTATTTGGGTGGCCACTTAAAGAATAAAAAAGCAACAGAATGAAATAAGAGTGATATGAGTAGTAAGGAAAAAAAATAAGCCAAAAATGACAACATGTCCAAGAACTACATGAAAATTATGAGCAAAAGCATAGACGCTACTGTTATCTGTTCTCTGAGAGGTATCGCTATAGAAAATCTGCAGTTCAGGATAACAGTCAGTGACCTCATTATGTGTTGGTGTACCGGTCTACTTATCTATAAGATTCTTCTTTATACCAAGGTATACCACTTCATGCATCTATGTTGCTTCCCAGTTGACTCATTTACCTTTATTATAACGCTGTTAATCAACTACCAATAACTTTTAAACGAGGCAGTAATCATTGAAAAAGATTTCTGGAAATAGTCCAAGTATCTGTAAAACAGTATGCTAGATTTGCACCAAAAGAGAAGTGAATACAGGATGGGGAAGAAACATAAGTTCCACATTCCCCTATCCAGTATTATCATCGGTGACTAGCTTTGGAAGGTGATTTTCTAAAGTTCCAAATGACAAGTCATGACTAGTGGGGTTAAGCATGCCGAATATGTGGATAGTTACTCAACGATGACATCCTATGGAGGCCATCCTCATTGGTAACGTGCTAGCCGCGGAACCTGGAGATCCTGAGTTTGATCCCTACAGAGTTGGGTCGTGGGTGCGTACTGCTGAACAATGTCATTCTAGGACGAAACAGCTGTTCAGTGCTCCCGGTTTTCAATGTCCCTTCAACTTATGTCAGTTCATTATGGATCCCGACCCCAATCACAAGAGTACATGAGTGATCAGTAGAACAGGTAAGTGAACAAACAGTTAAACTATAGTCATTTGTCTGAAGAAACGGTTTGTGTTTGGAAAGTTGTAAATACCATGTCTAAGTGGATGATTCGATAAAGTGTCAAATTACAGACAGGCTTGATGTTATAGCGTGTAACTTCCCTTCGTTGATTGGAAATTACAGACCGGCGAATATTGACACATGAGTTCCTGAAAGCATGCAACAATATTGCCGGTAGTTTCAGTATGATACTAATTGTGAATAGCGTCAAACAGTGGATTAAAATATGCACGTTCCTTCCTGATTGAGACTGGTCAGTGGGATATACTTCCCTTCTCGTGAGTGATATTTAAACTGGAACTCAAGTCCATCAATTCAAACACCACAGTGTTATCCGCTAAGCTACAGCTACAGCTTTTATACATCGGGTATGAAGTTTTGACGTTGGTCTGTATTCAAATTTTCGACCGGAACACGCTGGCTGGATTCAGGATGAAGAATCATAAACGAATCAAATTCCAACGCTACGCTATGCATCATCATACAACACACCACAGAATAACAGTCAACTCAACTCTCTACCTCAACTTCATCCATTTTCAAAAGCCTTCGATAGCGTCGACCAAAAAGAAATTCGGCAGGCAGCTGCTTCAGCACTACGGTTTGAGTGACACAAACATTCATCAACTTCATTCAACAACACCTATATGATATGAAGATGCTACACTTTGAAGCGAAGACAGGGGACAGGAGTAAGACAACGTTGCCTCATACTATCACCGATCATCTATCTTCCTGATTGTCGTCGACTGGATTCCACTGGACTAGACTGGATCATGCAAGAAACTGTGAGGTGGTGTGAGAAGATGGGTATAGGCTGTTTCACTGATGAAAAGATAAAGACACTAAAATATTTGGATTTCGCCAATGGTGATGATGATGATTTATATCAAATGTCCCATGGTGAACAAACTCGGAGATCTACAGGTGAAAACCACAAGTTGGCAGAAGTGGTGAGCTGAGGTGAGGCGAGGCGAGGCAGCGAACACGGGAATTCCTCAGGTGAACGTAGAGAAAACAGAAGTGATGAAGATACCCAATCAACAACAACAAGCACCAATCACCATGAATGGGAAAATCTACTGCACTGGAGTGAGTGCACTGGGTATAAAGTGTGAACGAGATCTGGATATGCAACACTAACGTCAGTCAAGTCATTGCTTCTATGTGATAGTTCAGAAACTTGGCGCTTCACGAAAAGCATTTCCAACAAACTACAGACATATATCATCGACAGTTGCCACCCACCCTCACTTCATACTGAAGATCAGATCAGATAGTGAGAAAGAATAAACAACAAGGAACTCACTTTGACCTGGCAACGAGCCAACCAACCAAGAAATCATAGCCTAACAAATATGCAGAAGGAGAAAATGGAGATGGATTGGATTGGACATGGGAGATCACGCGTCAAGCCAGGTCGTCGAGTGGAACACGTATGCGAAACGACCAGTCGTACGTTCGATGGTGATATAGAGGAGATGATGTAAAGAAGAAGAAGAAGAAGAAGAAATGAAAACTTATGGGTAGTGAGTGAGTTAGGTTTAAAAGACTGATGAGAAGAGAGTGAAGCCGTATGTTCCAGTAAGCAGTGAAAAGATAAACAATAAATAATGATTACACAATCCTCTATTCCACTGCTAGTCATAGTAATCACAACTAACAAGCCTAAAGGATATTAAGAAATCAACAAGTTCTCTAGTTTGGTTTACTAGGGGGCACTAAGTAGTAATTTTAAGAAAACATTTAGAAAATAAATCTTGCATATAAAGTGTATACAATAATTTTCTATGGAAAACGGATCATTTATCATGGTTGTAGTAATAGTGATAACCAATTAAAATCTATACAGTATTAAACTTACGTAAGGATTTTTTTTAAAAGATTACGTAAGGTAACAAATGAACTCCACTACAACTACCAGTTATCCAGATCAGTAATGATTGAATATCTATTCCCCTGAAATTCTCTATAATCACATTTGTATAAAGTAAATTCAATCTACTTTTCTCCTATTGGTTAAAAAGTAGATTATTGACCTGAAGCTGATATAATATTAACCAATAATATTTCAGCTATAAGGTCACATGATTATCTACAATATCTAGATGAAATATTAATGTCTGTCCGTCTTTTATATATGTCAGGGATATATAATTATTTAAAAGAATGATAGACAAACAGACAGACAGGTAGATTGTTTATGTGCTATTTATACACGTGATTTATGCGGTTGTTTCTCCTTGATCAAACAACGAATTTCATCCCCTTTATCAGTTTAATAATTTGAGTATACTCTGTGTAATAAGAAGGTTAAGTTGTTCAGTGAGAAATAAATAAAGCTCTGATTATATAACGGACTTCAAGTGAATATAGAGAAGACAGAAGTGATGAAGATACCCAACCAACAACAACAACAAACTCCAGTCACCATCAACGGGAGAAACTTAAAAAAAATAACCTCCTTCACCTATCTAGGAAGCACTGTTTCAACTACAGGCGGCACAGACGAGGATGTCAAAGTCAATCGGAAAAGCAAGACAGGCGTTCATTAGCCTGAAACCAGTGTGGAGATCTTCTGCACTGCACTCAGCATGTGGAACAAGATCCGCATTTTCAACACCAATCCATTCAAGTCAGTGCTTCTGTATGGTTGAGAGACTTGCCGCGTCGCGGAAGGGAATTCCAATAAACTACAGACATTCATCAACAACTGCTTACGCTGGCTCGCTACTGAAGATCAGATGGCCAGAAAGAATAAGCAACAAGGAACTCTGGGAACGAACCAACCAAGAACCTATCACGCAACAAGTATGCAGAGCAGGAAGTGGAGATGGATTGATGGCATGCACTGAGAAGGCCGACTGGGGACATCACGCGTCAGGCCCTTGAGTGGAATCCCCAGGGGAAGCGACGAGTTGGACGTCCGATGTGAGGGTGACATGGAGGAGGTCGTGCGAGGAGGAAATGAGAGCTTGTGGGCTGTCGTGGAGCCAGGTTCAAAAGATCTCAGAGAACAGAGTGTAATGGAGACGTGCTACTGAAGCCCTATGTTCCACTAGGAACCCAAGGGACTAATAATAATATAACGGTATGAGTAAGGTGAATTCAACGATTAAATTTTTGGGCAACTATGCAATATAGTAATTTGGTTGGTTGTGGCTAGCAGAAGAATTCAGGACACACGTTCCTTCCTATTTGGGACTTGTCAGCTGAATGTATCTGCACCCCAGTCAGTGATGTTGTTTCCACTGAGATTCAAACCTCGTATACATCGCTTCAAACGCCAAGCTGTTATCTACTATGCCAAGGAGGAACTATAGCCACTTCTTGTACAATGGGTAGTAGTTATTACTATTTATTGACATAATTGTTATTCGTTAGCTGGTTGGAGGCAATCAGCAGGGAACCTTGGACCTCGTCAGCAAGGCGTATCTCCAAACTCGACGGAACTGATATCTAAGCTGAGATGCGAATCCGCGTCACCCAGTATTGTAGTCAGCGTCTTTACCACTGAGCTATTCGGGCCACGGTTGACATCCCGCAAGACTGGCTTACATGTATTGATTAGTCACGGAAGTGCGACCAATACATGTTATTCTCCGTTGTTTTCTGTGTTGGATCGAATTGTTTGACGTGTATTGTAGGTATGTGTGTATGTGTGTAGTTTGTTGGAAATGCTTTTGTAACGCGCCAAGTGTCTGAAACATCACATAGAAGCACTGACTTGACTGACCGGTTCTTGTTTTTTTCGCTGAGTGCAGTGCAGTAGATCTCCACACTAATTTCAGATTAATGCAGGAAGGCCTGTCTAGCTGTCTTTCCGATTCTGACTGACTTTGAAATTGTCATCTGTGTCTGTGCCACCTATAGTTGAAACGAGGTATCTAGGTAGGTAGGTGAAGAGACAACTTCCTGTAAATTTCTCCTGTTGATGGTGATTGGCGCTTGTTGTCGGTTGTTAGTTGGGTTTCTTCATCACCTCTGTCTTCTCTACATTCAGCTGAAGGAAATCCCATCCTTGCTGCCTTTTCTGCCAGCTTGTTAGTCTTCGCCTTTAGACAATGAGCACTATACAGTAAGGTTTTTTGTAATGAATGTCCAGGAGTTTCAGGGTCTTGCAATAGTTCTCGAACTGATATCAGTGATTAATACCATGGATTTTCAATTGTATTGTATGTAGTAATCTGATCGTACCACTTGAAGTCTCAGTGGTAGACGGATGAAATGACCGTTGGATAGTTAAGATCACACTGTAATTCTACCGAAGAGATCACTTTTGAGGTTGATGTGTGTGTGTGTGTGTTGGGTGTACCTCGTCGTGCTGGTAAAAGGCTGGGAACAACCAGACTAAAACATGACATTACTGTATGAAGTATTCAACTTTTGGTTTAAAACCATGTTAGGAGATTATATTAGGCGGTTAGGGTCGAGATGAACACAGAAACCATTGAGTAGTTGGAGATTTTAGGTGAGATGATACAGGTGCATTCAGGCTCTACCTTCATCTTAACCAGTATACTGAATTCAACACTTTCTTATTTCACCTTCATCTCGTTTACTTCAATGTAATACTTTCAATCAATTCCTTCCCACTTTCTTCATCTTTCTTCTTATAACTATCATGTTACTTGTTGTCGTAATCTGACGTGTGGGAAGTCGGATGATTGTCGCAGTTGTACTGCGTATTATTATTTTTCCCATGGGTTCTTAGTGGAACATACGGTTTCAGTAGCACATAAACATTTCACTCTATTCTCCGCAGTCTTTCCAAGCTGGCTCCACGACTGCCCACAAGCTTTTATTTCATCCTCACATCATCTCCTCTATGTCACTTTCGGACGCTCTACTCGCCGTTTTCCATCTGGGTCCCACTTGAGCATCTGGCTAGCGCAAGATGTCCCCAGTCACCCTTCTCAGTGTATACCCACTCTCCGCTTCTGCATATTTGTTGTTCAGTATCGAGTGAGCAAATGCCGCAGCTGTTGACGATTTGTGTCTGTAGTCTGTTGGAAATGCTTTTCGTAATGCGCCGCCAACTCTGTGAACCATCGCATAAAAGCACTGAATTGAACTTCGCATTTGTGGTGAAAATACGGATCTTGTTCACGCTTTATGCCAAGTGCAATGCAGTGCAGTGGATATCCACGCCGATTTTCGATCAATGCAGGAAGGCCTGTCTTGCTGTCTTTCCAATACTGGCCGACTTAGACATCCTTATCCTTGCATTTCTCGCCTGTAGTTCCAACGATGCTGCCTAGGCAGGTAGGTGGGTAGGTAGGTAGGTATGTAGGTAGGTGTGTGGGTAGGTAGGTAGTTAGGTGGGTGGGTGAAAGCGAGAATCTCATTCAGGTTTCTCCTCTTCATACTGATTGATGCCTCTTGTTGTTGTTGTTGTTGTTAATTGGGTATCTTCATCACCTCTCTCTTCTCTACGTTCACCTGAAGGAATTCCCGTGTTCGCTGCCTCGCCTCGCCACACCTCAGCTCACCTCAGCTCACCACTTCTGCCAACTTGTGGGTTTTCACCTGTAGATCTCCGAGTTTGTTCAACATGGGACATTTGACATAAATCATCATCATCACCATTGGCGAAATCCAAATTTTCTATTGTCTTTGTTTTTTCATCAGTGAAACAGCCTATACCCATCTTCTCACACCACCTCACAGTTTATTGCATGATCCAGTCTAGTCCAGTGGAATCCAGTCGACAACAATCAGGAGTATGGGTGATCGGTGATAGTATGAGGCAACGTTGTCTTACTCCTGTCCCCTGTCTTCACTTCAAAGGTGTCACTGAGCTTTCTACTGTGAATCACTTGGCATGTAGCCTCATGATATAGCATATAGCAGATAGCTGTTGAATGAAGTTGATGAATGTTTGTGTCACTCAAACCGTAGTGCTGAAGCAGCTGCCTGTCATGGCCTTTTCGAAGTTGGTGATATTGAGGTAAAGATCCGGTTGACTGTTATTGTATGCTGTGCTGTAGGTGATGTAATTTTATCCGGACATGATTTGTACTTCGTGAATGCAGCCAGCCTGTTCCGGTAGTAATTTTGAGTGAAGAGGATTGTTTAGTCTCTGCAGGATGATGTGGCTTAATCTTTTGGTTTGGATGGAGAAGGGTGGAGCATGATTCCGCACCAGTTCTTGCAATGACTTAGGTCTCACTTCTTTTGGACTTTGACAGGGTAGCCCTTCTTCCAATCTGCAGGTACCTTACCTTCCTCCAAACTTTCTACAATAGTGGTGTGTGCGTGTCCGCTATTGTCTCGGCATCTGTTTTCAGCGCTTCTGGTATCGTAAAACTTTTGTATTTTGTAGTACGTGCATAGAGTCGTATATAATTGCTTCTTATCTTCCCAGATGACCGGCATACAGAGAGCTTTGAATGAAGAGGATGTTGGTTATCTGACAAAATAACTTCTCTCAGACGTTTACATAATTCAATATGTTTGTCCATAATACTTTTAACTAGAAGGTTCAGGGGTACACTACTAGTTCTGGTGATAATCTTCAAAGTTCAAAGCAGTGTAGCATAGTCTATTTTCAGCAACCCAGAAAAAAAATAAGAGGGAACAATAGAGGAGAACAGGGAAAGTGCAGGAGTTTATAAACACACATGAGGAGAGGCTGAGTAATGCCAGATTCACTCAACTTCCTAATATAGGCGAAAAATTCTTTTGGAAATTAGTGAGATATGAGAAGACAAGGAAAGGTCCGGAGAAAAACGCACATCAAGATAAATCACACTTGTAACATTCTCTAATGCAGAACTATCAATAGAACAGGAATCCCCTTTGGATTCCACTCGAGCATCTGGCTTGGTGCGTGATGTTCCCAGTAGACTACATAAGTTATGTTCATGTCTAAAACTAAAGTTTATGGTCTGTTATTTTGAAGAATTGAGCATGAGACCATTCTCAGAAGACCATCGTCTAACA